ACACATAGACATAAAAAACAAATGTACAGTTACCAAAGGGGAAAAAGGGGAGAGACAAATTAAGAATTTGGGATTATCATATACAGACTACTATATGTAAAATAGATAACCTACTGTATAGCACAGGGAACTATACTCAATATTTTGTAATAACCTATACGGGTAGAGTATGAAAAGAATATATATATACGCATGACTGAATCACTTTGCTGTACACCAGAAACTAACACAACATTGTAAAGTGACTATCATTCAGTTAAAAAAATTAGTGATGGTTGATGCTTTATTGAGTGATCATCGTAATAAGCTTTAAAATCTACCTATTCTTATTAAACGAATTGTCTCTGTACACATACTGTTCTATTTCTTTCCTAAGCAGCAGGAAGGGTAGTAATTAAGGATAAGCTCTGGTGTCTTTGTTCTCTAAAGTATTTCTTCCTCTTTCTGTTACACGTGTTCAGAAATGTGGTGTCCTCGGCGTCTAACTTTAGTTCCTACGACTTTTACTCTGTCATTGGGGCTTCCCTGGTGGTTCAGATGGTAAGGAATCTGCCTGCACTGCGGGAGACCCAAGTTAGATCCCTGGGTCAGGAAGATTCCCTGGAGAAGGGAGTGGCTGCCCACTCCAGTATTTTTGCCTGGAGAATTCCATGGACAGAGGAGCCTGGTAGGCTACAGTCCATGGGTTTGCAAAGTCAGACAAGACTGAGTGACTAACACTTCATCTATCACTGGCCTTAGTGATCAGAAATTCTTAATAGTTATACTCAAGAAGATATATGCTCTGCAAGCAACAGCAATACATGAAAGCAGAATGAAGGTAACAACTGTACTTTACACATATAAGCAAAGGAAGGGAAGTGGTAAACCTGGAGATGGGTAAAAGAAGGAACTAGGATTTCTCAGAGAACCTGCAGGGAGGCCATACTCTTTTGGGTTAGAGATCGCTTCTTGACCTCATACTTTGTTCTTGCTGTGTTTGTTCTGAACGCACAGGCTGAAAACAGACAAAGCTAAAATACGAAAGCACATAGATATTGAGGAATACCAATATCATTTGATTTTATTTCCTTCAATTATATGAATACAGTTACAGCGTCAGTGTATACTTCACTGTAATGACTTATCTGCCACCATATTCTACTATGCTAATTCTGTGTGATACAGAAGAAAGCTAACTAAAATTTAAGGTTGATCTCCTAGTTGGATCATTCTCTTGATATTAACATATTTGCTCCTCTTCTGCTCTGTATCTTACCCCTCTTTCTAATGAGTCAATCAGCTCTATCAATCTTGAAAATTAGACAAAATAGGAGAAATATTTACTTATTGGTAGTAAGAGAATTTATTTACTTATATTATAGAAATTTCTGAGCTCATAAAGTTCAGACTGGTGAACTTTTCTCCCTCCTTCACTATATATAATTTAGTTTGGACAGTGATTTTGTTGATTCAATATTCATCTCTTGGGGTTATTTTAAAAAACATAAAATGATTAAAAATCCATGTCCTCATTAAAATAGAAGTTGCTTTTCAGCATGTGTTTTCCCTTCCAGAATTGATTTTTTAAAAATGTTTCTATCATCAAATCTGGTGTCAAATTGCCAATCTACTCACATGCCTGTCAATATATTTCTGTGTTGTCTTTTAATTCTAATGCTTGTCTAGTTGTCATGAGAATGGCCCACTTATAGTGACAGATTGTGTTATGTCTATGTGGTAAGAAAACTGCGAAGACTATCATTTTAATATTTCCCACTTGATCTATTTTGGGCTTTCGCAATAGAAATTCTAAAAGAAGGGCAAAAGTAGCACAGCATAGGCAATTGCTCTTAATGAAAATGTATAATTTAAGGAAATAAACACATATTCTGGAGTTGTCTTCTTTCACTGCAGTGATAAAAAAATGCCCTCCTCAATATTTGACTAGCCTTAGATGTTGTCATTAATTTTTCAATAATTCAGATTTTCTGAGATAGATATAACTAATGTTTTCATATTTTCACTTGTCTTACTAAGGATTTTGAGTTGCTCAGTAATAAGTGGTAAAACATCTAACTAAAATCTACTGTGTTCTTGAAAGTAAATTCTAATGGAGCAAATATAGAGAGATCTATTGTTGTTCTATAAAAGAAAGAATGGTATTTCTTTTAATCTATTTATCTTAATTGGAGGTCAATTACTTTACAATATTGGAGTGGTTTTGCCATACATTGACATGAATGTTATATTCTTAGATACAGATAAAACTTTTTTTTTTAATGTCAAGTCTTTGCTTTTACTGTATAATGGAACTTACAGAAATAATACCATGTACAAAAAAGCACTCAAAACTTTATCCATATACAGATAGGAAAGTTGACATTTTTAACCTGTTATTTAAGAATTATCACTCATAATAAAGGTATATGTAAATACCAATTGTTTAAATATATTAAAATCCAAGGACTTTTTCTTCAAAGAGATTATTCAAAGCATTATGCTCAGACTAAGGCTTCACAGAGAAATGAAATTCTAACACAGAGCCATTGATAGCTGAATTTGATCAACACATAAGAACAATATGAATATTTAAGGTTAAAAACTATCCAAAGTGGAAAGAAAAAAAAACACACTTTGATTTCCTTATATAATAGAACTGTGCCCATGTCAGGATATCTGCCTCAAATATCAATTTTGCAAACTTAAGTTATATTAAAATGACAGGAAAAATATATATATAGATATACCCCTTTTGGTCTGAGAATAAGTCATTGGATAACAAAATATAGAGCCTTTGTTTTGTTTCAAGGCAAATCATGCTCAGAGAATGAGATTATCTTTGCCAATATTTTATTTAACACAGGTCTACTCTGGGAATTATAATTTCACAAGCCAATAGCCTACAGATAATGTACCTTAATAAGCCAACAAACAAATAACTTACTCCAAATCAATGATAGGTTAATTATACTATTGTTCCAGACAAAGGGCATGATGAAAGGAATAAGGTCCAAATTTATCTGAGGTGTACCTTTCTGTTGCAGGAAGGGGAGCCCCTTCCAGAGCCTGAGAGTGGGCTCTTGTCTAACATTTGGAAATGAAATATCCAAGGAGACACATTTACTGACAAAGCAAAAGATTTTATTGTAAATGGGCGCTTGGGTGGAGGGCAGGAGGGTAAGAGAAACCAGAAGGACTGCTCTGCCACATGGTGTGCAGTCTCAGGTTTTATGATAATGAGATTAGCTTCTGGGTTGTTGCTGACCAATCATCTTTCTTGGCTCATGTTTGATCTGACTCAGGGTCCTCCCTTGTGGTGTTTGCATCTTTCAGCCAAGATGGATTCCAGAGTGAGGGTTTCTGGGAGATTGGCAGGACATATCATCTTCTCTCCCTTTCTTTGACCCCTCCCAAATTCTCCCAGTTAGTTTTCAGTGGCAGGATTACATTCTTTATCAGGACCTCCTGTTTGAAGACAACTCAGGCAAGAGGTTATCATTGTATCTGGCCAAAGCAGTGGGTTTCCTTCAACAGTTCCTTAACATTTCTATGAGATGGCTTTTGGGAGAGAGAGCTTAGCCAACTGAGAATTGATGTTCAGTTGTTAGTGCAAAGGTGAGAGTCCCTTGTTACTAGAGCATATCACTAGAAAATGAAGGCATTAATGCTGGCCAGCATGATAATCTTCCAGGCCACTGCATGATTATCACTACTGCTAAGCAGAGATCCACCTTCCTAGGCAGGAGCTAATACTCCAAAGTCAGAGAGCTATTTAGATCAGCAAGAGTCACCTTGTCTGGACTGAACACTCTCAGATGGTTTTCATAGACTCTGGATATTTGTACTCTTAATATCTCCTTGCCATAGTTGCATCTTCATCTGCTCTTAATTGATAAGACCGCAGCAGTGCCCCTTAGTATCTGAACTACTACTGAGTACTTATCAACAGTTGCAAATGTTGATGATGACATCTTGAAGTAACAACTTCAGTTCTCTTACCAAAACAATATTACTTTAAAAAAGTTTGTTCTTAGATCAAAACTGCTTAATATTTGTAATGAACAAATAAATCTGAAATCATATCAAAGCACTGTACAACAGAATTCATTCCCTTACTGTATTTATTGCATCTCTTTTTGTACATACCCTTATTTCAAATTCAACCCTATCTCCTCCCCAGTTTTCTGAGATGCTCAAAGAAACGTTTACACAACTGTAACTATGATAGGAAACTGTGATAAAATATTAGGAGAAAGGACTTTGGGGACCATAATTAGCTAGAAATGTTAGGTACATGATACTTTTATCATGTGATGTATTCATCCCATACAAAGGAGAATGAATTCAAGGGATACATGGCCTAAACGCTTACAGAGTCTTCAAAACCAGTTTACTGCCCATTTCCTGAGGTTGAATGGGATGAAAAAAGAAGTCTTAAATAAAAGCAAAAGGAATGACTTTACCATGATGGCTGCAAAAAGGATTTAGTTGAATAGAATTGAATTAAGGTGTTCCTAAGACCCACAGAAATTAATATTTAGGTATTTAGAGATAGTATCCAAAGCTGTATAGATATTTATGTTTACTCCTAAATCATGAATCTCCAACCAGCTTAGATTTTTTTTTAAGAAATGTGTTCATGCTTGAGATAAAAACTCATCCATTTTAAAATGAGTGGAAAACAAATGATATAAAAAGAGAATATCTTACTGGAAATATGTCTTTTCTTGGCTAATGCCTATGTGAGCTAAGCATATAACAATTTTTGATGCCAATTGAAAGTTTTATATTGTTCTACATATTGCTGCATGATATTTACAATATTGTTAATATACTTTTCCTGAAATCACTGAAGAACACAACACATAAAAATAGTTTCCCTAGAAGACCAAAATTGTGTATTATTGCACTGAGAATATTGATATTTTTAATGTACTTGCAATAACAAATTGAAACTGATTTTTTGTTTTTGTTTTGTTTTCCTTTGCTTCCTTTGCCAACATTTTATTCTAAATCAGCGGAAATCTGAGGGGAAAAAGGCAGTAAAGGTAAGATGCAAGTTTCAAAGAAAAGTGACTTCAAAATTTGTTGTGCTATCTTTTCTTAAATTTCTGAAGCTACAGTAGCTACTAAGGGCAGTTAAAATTGTAAGTATTTAAGATGACATATGTTGCAGTTCTGCCTTAAAAGAGCTTCAAGCTGAGCTGTCTCTACATTTTGTATTACTTACACAGTCCTGGAAGCAATTTTCAAGGCTTATTTTATTTTTCACCAACACTTTCTTTTCCCAGTGTGCCTAAACAACATACTGCTGACAGCATCACTTTGTGAATGTTCTGGTAATGTAGTTACTTTATGATAAATTTTAGCAACAGAAGGGACCATTTTGGTGTCAGTTCACAATTAACAGTGACAACAAAAGTTAGTAAATATGAAGCATGAAGATGTCAGATAAGGTCACAGAGAAAAATACTATAAACATGGTTTATCAGTAGATTGATGTTCTCTGAGAAATTGGGCTTTAAAATGTCATATTTCAATGTGAATTTTTTTTCTAATTGAAATGTAGTTGGTGTACAATATTATGTTAGTTTCAGATGTATTGCATCGTGATTTGACATTTGGATACATTATGAAATGATCACCACCATGATAAGTCCAGTAACCATATACAATCATATAATTTATCACAATATTATTAACTATATCCTTTATGCTGTATATTACATCCACATGACTTACCTGTTTTAAAACTGGAGGTTTCTATCTCTTCTATCTCTCTACCTCTATCTCTGCCAACCACCTTTTTGTTCTCTGTGTCTATGAGTCAGTTTTTGTTTTGTTTTGGTTTTTAGATTCTGCATATGAGATCCTACAGTTGTTGTCTTTGTCTTATTTATTTAACTTAGCAAAATACTTTCTAGACTCATCCATGTTGTCACAAATGGCATGATTTTTAATGGTTGGATAATGTTCTATTACATATATACATACATACCACATTTTCTTTATCCATTCATCTACTGATGGACACTTAGGTGTCTTCCATATCTTGGTTATTGTGAATAATGCTGCAATAAAAGTTGGAGTGTATATGCATATATATCCTTCTGATTTAGTGTTTTTGTGCTTTATCATATGGCAGTTCTATTTTTAATTTTTTGAACAAACTCTATAATGTTTTCCACAGTATCTAAACCAATTACATTCCCACCAACAGAACACAAAAGGGTTCCCTTTTCCATACATCCTCACCAACATTTGTTATTTGTTGTCTGTTAATGATAGCCATTCTGACAGGTGTGATTTGAAGTTCCCTGATGATTAGTGATGCTGAGTATCTTCTCATGCATCTGCTGACCATTTGTATGTCTTTGAAAAAAATGTCTATTCTGTTCTTCTGCCCATTTTAATCAGGTTCTTTTCTTGTTTTGAGTTGTAAGTGTTCTTTGTGCATTTTAGATATTAACCTTTTATCAGTTATATCATTTGCAGATATGTTCTCCCATTCAACAGGTTGCCTTTTCATTTTGTTGATGGTTTCCTTTGCTATGCAAAACATTTTGAGTTTGATGTAGTCCCATTTGCTTAATTTTTGTTTTGTTTCCCTTCCCTGAGAAACAGACCCCACCCACCCATGCAAATATTGTTAAGACCATGCTGCCAATGTTCCCTTCTAGGAGTTTTATGGTTTCGGGTCTTACATTTAAGTCTTTAATCCATTTTGAGTTTATTTTTCTATATGGTGTGAGAAAGTAGTCCAGTTTGATTCTTTTACATGTAGTTGTCCAGTTTTCCCAATAACATTTTTTGAAGAGACTTTTCATGTTGTATATTTTTACTTCCTTCAATGTGAAAATTTTAAGTTCTGTTCACGTATATATGAACAGTCTAGCTTTCTAGAAAAATTTGAAGTTTTTTACTATTAAAAATATAAACTAGGTCACACATATTGTTAAATTTTAATTACCTCATTGATTAGACTGCATCACCACTAAAGATAAAAATAATTCATTTCATTTATTTCTTAGAATTTATGCCTTGGTTTCTTCACCATGTTTTGAGGTTGAAAGAAATGGGTTTCCCTTAAGCTTATGATGGAAGGTATTTTGGAAATTAAAATCAGTAAGCCTTAAATGCTGCTCATATTAGGAACCAAAACATTTCCATAATCATATGCTAGGTTAAATGTGATTTTTTTGTGTGTAAGATTAATTATCCTATAGTTTGGGAGACTAGATTTTGTTTTTGAAAAGCAACTTACCAAAGGATGGTCTAGACTATGCTAGAGGTACTCTGTTAGCCCTAGATGGCTTTATCAAGTGTGAGAATTACCAGAAAATGGTGCCTGAGTAGAATGTCAAATGTATTTTCATTAGTGTTTGAGAGATAAACTAAAATATCAGCATTAGAAAATTTTCACTTTCTGAATTTCCAAATGCCTTTCTGAACAATCTTATCACTGTGACCTTGGAATGATGACTTTTTGAGAATAACTCCCCCCAGAAGGCAAAAGGTCATAGAAGAGTTCTACAATTAAAAGGAGGGAAGCAAGTGTAATGAAATGTTACTAGCTATATAAAATGAAAGAGAGAAGCTCTACAGATTTTAGATGTTCCAACATTCTCAATCATCTGATAAATTTAGAAATGGACCTGTTTGCTCAATCATAAGTTGGAATTTTGAAGAACAGAATGGCAAATTTTATCTAGTGTAGTTATTCTATAAATAGAAATGTATTTTTTATTTTTTAAAAATTAGGCCTTTGTATACAATGTCTGGGCGAAATCAGAAAGTACCTGGCTCATGAAATTTTAACTTAAAACATTTCAATTGTGAATATTAAAACATTAATATAATCTCAATATAAGGAGCAATGGAAATAGTGGTTTTAGTGAAAGATTTTGTTGTTGTTGTTGTTGTTGTTGTTGTTTTGGTGAAATCAAAGCAAATCTGGGCCTAGGGAGAGATTTTATCCAGAATAGAGAGAAGGGTCTGATCTCAGAAATCTGCAAGTTTTTAAAATCCAACAAAAATATATATATATATATATATTTTAAGTTAAAAAGGGTAAGCAGAAATAAACATAATTTTTAAATAAGAAATTGGACAAGCATGATAAGTGACCAGTGGGATCCACCAGGAAAAGTGTCTTGCTGCAGTCCACTGATTCCCAGGAGACCCTTATAAAGGGGATGTGTTCCACAGTTTTAGTGCTTGCTCATTGCTTGGGAGCAAGCAGAGCTCTGAAACCTGGAAGAAAGAGAGATGCTTGACTAAAGTTTGGTCAAGACAAAGTCTTGTAAGAGAAGGAGGTGGCAAGGGAATGGTCATATTCCAGGTCTCAGGCAAGTCCCTGGGATGGGCCCCCAAGGGAAGGTCTTTGGCTTTCCACAGTCAAGGAGTCCAAGTAGAATAGAAGCCAATTTATTCAGGCAGACACACACTCCATAAGCAGAATTTGTTCCATCTAAGAATGTAGAGGGCCCTGGGGAATACAGGTTGCTAGTTTTTATGGGCTAGGTAATTTCATAGGCTAACAAGTGGATTATTCCAACTATTTCTGGGCAGGGGCAGAGACTTCCAAGAATTGGGACACGACCAACTTTTGGGTCTTTCACTGTTGGCCTCCAAACTATCATGGTGCCAGTGGGTATGTCATTTAGCATATGCTAATGCATTACAATGAGCATATAATGAGGCTCGAGGTCCGCTGGAAGTGAAATCTTCCGCCATCTTGGACCTAGTAGGTTCTAACCAGTTTATGTGGCATCATGTTTTTCTCAACAACTGTTTCATTCTTTTAATGGTTGTGCCCTACCTACTTCTCTCCCGCTTCAAAATCAGAGGATAGGAAGGGGACAGCTGTGAGCAGTTGGCATTTTTCCCAGCACCTTTCTATACCAAAGTAAACACAGCAACATTAACTCGCTAATATTATGCTTACTCTGTTCAAAGCACTGTGTGTGTATATGTGTGCATACATATAAGTGCATATATGTATATATCTATACTTCTATATACACATCTGCATCTCTATACCTACTACAAATTTAGTCTTAACAAGAATCCTATAAACTCTTTTACAGATGAAGAAATCATGGTACAGAGAGCTTAAGTGACTTGCCAGAGTATAGAGCTCACAAGTAGAAGAGATATGGTTTGAATCCAGACAATTTGTCCAGAATACCTTTTAAAAAAGAAAAGAGAAAAACTTGAAATCATAAAACAAATACTTCTTTCATATCAAAATTGTTTTTTATGTGTGTGTGTTTTAGTAATTACCCTGAATATGTTTAATGTTTTAAGGCTTCTGGAAGAATAATATTTAAAAAAAAATTACCTCTGTCAACTCTGATGATGCTACAGACTCCTTATCAAGCCCTTTCGCTCCATACCTAGCTTGATATAATATGGTTAACATATACTATGGAGATTAGGTCTGTCCTCTGATGCCCTTTATTTTTGGTTCATTGCATTTATATATACATTTGATTTTGGATGTTAAATTCATATTTTCGGTATTAAATCCAGGAAGCTATAAACCTTAAATATATAGTGTCAGAATATTCATTAACCTTGGATTTATTGCAGACGTTTCCATAAAAAGCTCAATAATCTCTTGAACTCTTGAACTTCACCTATGTAGGCTTTTAAATTTAGATTATAAAATACGGCTTTTATTTTCAGTTTAATTCAAAGTGAAAAATATAAGGTTCCTGCATTTGTTAAAAAAAAAGGCCCCATATTAGCCAAGAATGAAGTATCTAAATGAATGCTTTGTCCTAGAGTCCCAAACATCAAAGGACCTAGAGTTGCTCAATGACTGCCCCAGCTATTTACATTTAAATGACTTCAGAGGCCTCACCAAACAGACTAGTTGTAGATTCCAAATCAGAGGTGTTTTTTTTTTTTTGTTGTTGTTTTTTGTTTTTTAGATTCCAAATCAGAGGTTTAAAGTACAGAGATAGACAAGTTTTTCTACCTCCCTTTTAAAAGATTACGTTTCATAGAGAAGCTAGTGAAATTCAAAGAGAAAAACGAAGCA